AAGGACTGTTTCCGTTAGCAGTATAGTTACCACTTATTAGGTCTATTGCATCCTGAAAAACACACAGAATAATAATAATAATAATCATGAAAAAAGATGAAGAGCTGTTTTCTATGACGAGGGCATTCACGTCTTTTTGCACACGCAAGAGATTGAGAAACTTGCCTGGCGAACTCCATCTTGGAAATTATTTAAATAATATCTTGAAAGGGCACTCATCCCATCTTTGATTAATCCGGATATAGTCTGTTTGCCATATCTTTAAAAAAAACATCATGAATGAGAAAGGAAACATAAGAAATTTTAATACTTATTATTAATAGTAATATTATTATTACCTGACAATGTCCCCTTTTAGAGCATTTGTTCCAGAATACTCGAGGCTGATTTCATCACCTTGATCCACCCACACTATGAACATAATTTATCCATACAGCACTTTATCCAGACATAACTTAATGGAAAACAAATAATAATAATAAAAAAAATAAATAAGGACTTACAAGTCCTGAAAATCTCAAGATCTTCATCAGCTGTGAAACTACAAATGCTTTCTGATTGTGTCAGTGCACACATCCGCTGCAATTGTTGATTCAAAGAAATCCTTGCAAGATAACTCTGCAACAATTAAAAAAAAAAACACCAATTTTACATGTTTACCCTTTTAGGACTAGAAGAATGACAAGGGCATTAACGTCTTTTGGTAATACCTGGGTAACATTTGTGCGGTCAAGGCAGTCAATGCAGTTGGATCGGATGATTCCTTTCTGCTCTGCTACCAACTCTCCTTGTGCGGTTTGGAGGAAGAATCTGCTGAGCTGGAAAAGTGAATATTATAGCTCCATTTTTAAGGAAACTATTTCAGGTGGCAAAATTGTAAATAGTGTAGTTAAGTTTTTGCTAATACCCCTGCTTTTCAAAGTCATCGGCTATTTCATCATACAAAAGTTTCAAATTCTCAAAATTTCGGTTGCCACATCGTTGATGGAAATCAAACGAGACATATCTGAATCAATAATAACTTCACATTAAAATTGCAATCAAATGATATAACTTATTAAATCCTAAGACATGAATAAAGATTAAAGAATCACCTTACATCAGGAAGCTTTTCCATTTCTGTGGCAAATGCCAAGTTTAAAAGGCTCTCATTTCCATGCTACATTATCACAATAACATAAAAAGATTGTTATAACTGTGAAGAAATATAACAACATATGATACATATTTAAACAGGGTTGGTCAAATAGTCAAATGTTTCAACATCATTTATCAGTTAATGCTTTGGGCCAAGGTATTAACCTGGTCAGTTAAGTCAACAGCAATAGTATCTCCATATCTTTGCATAAGATCATGAAAGTGGCGTTTCACCACCATTGGCTGTATTCAGTTAAATAAATAAAACATTCCACACTTTAAGGAAATAATACATAAAATAAATGAATTCAGGAGTAAAATATATGATGTTATTATGATGGAATTTCATACTGTATCCTGATGCTCAATAACAGCAAGACGCGGTTTATAACTTAAATCAACAATTTGCTCCCACAATAGAGGAATTGAACCTCGGACCTGAAATACAATTTCAATTTATGAAGTAAAATGAATGTTTAGAAGCTGCTGAAAGATCATATGTTCAGAAGATTAACACAAGTCAACAACCATTATTTGGGAATTTGAAATTTATCTACTGAAATGATGTAATTGTAGTAATTACCTGTAAAAATGATGACTTGAATCCATCATATTCCAGCAACTGTTCAGTTTCAATAAAATTTGCAGTGTCACCTTCTAGGTTAGCTCCACGTCTCCACATTCTAGTACCTAATTCATATCAAATACCTCAAACTCCTCACATAAATAAATAACAATCTTAAAGTTATCAAATCAGAACATTTCAATTTAACCTACCAAGACGCCTTGTGCACCTCCTTGATATTAATGTGATTGTGGACGTTAAATTATTCAGTTTCAGCTGTCCAGTTTGGAAACGTAATCTTCTGTTAAGGAGAACATCATAAATAGCATGGAATCTAACTACTATTGTATGGAAAATCAAAAATGACAGAATGCATTCATAAGAATAATTGTAAAGGATATTTCCTTGTAAGAGTGGCACAACGAACTCATCAAGCTGTGGTAAGAAATATGAATATATATCAGAGAAGATTATATTTCAACAATTTAAAATCATAATCATGAAAATAATGAAAATGTGGTGTCTATTGTCTAACCTTATTCTCAATTAGCTCCTCCAAGATATTCCTGTTCCAAACAAACCGTGGGTCAGCCTGAAATACAAACAGGGAAGTTTTTGATCTTCAAGAAGTATTGTTATGAAGGAAATGGAGTTGTTTAAACAAGTGACTACATGTCTTATAATGAAAATGGACATGAAATTCCAAATAATAAATGCTACAGTGCAATTAAAACAGAATATCATATGTGAGAATATACCTGCTTCCAAATTGGTTTACTCATCCATCCATCAGCCATCTTATATCTTCTCTGTAAGCTGTAAGACATCAAATTTCTTTGAAATCAAAAAGGTTTTCTAATCCAAATACCAAATTATAGGAGTTCATCATTCAATAAGAAAACGTACTTTAATGTAATATCTGTTTCGTAGGAATAATACAATCCAGGAGTCTCCTCTACAGTTCTCAACAATGTCTGGAAGTAAGCCTCATCTTTTTTCTGTATAATGATGGATTTATGAAACAATTAAGGTGTGTGGCTTAATGGAACAGCTTGCAGAATAAATGAACTTACTTGCTGATTATTAAGATTACTTAAACCTTCATTACAGGATAAGAATTTCATAGACATGACTCTGAAGACAGGATAACCAAGGTAAGTTCCAACCTCCTTGCGAGAAGTTATAACCAATACATATGTCCCTACATAAAAACCACAAAAAGTTCAATACACTCATCAAATTTGGGCCTACTAGAAGTTGAACAACTGTCCATGTATGGAAAAACAACTGTAAGTATCATTGTTATGGATGCTAAATGATATTTTATCCAAATTCCAAAAGGTTCAATGGCTCTATGCCTGTATTTAATGTATATGTCCAACAAACCCTTATATAATGCGTAGCAATTATCACCTGCAAGCAATCTAATTGTTCCAGCAACTCCAAATATAGTATACATCCTGGAAGCAGTTTCCAAATTAACTTCACCTGTGACAAGTTAAGAATTTCCATGTTAGCACATCTTATAAATAGGATAATGCATATATTTACATCTTCAATTGATTCGTTGTTTCGATTTACCATGAACCTTTTCGAATTATTTAGGTAAGTAACAAATTTATGTTTCTGAAACTTCAACATACTGAATTACTGATTCAATTTTAAATTCTAGTCTACAGAAAACAAGCCAGGCGACTTGATTCTGAAACTGAGCAAATGCCAGGAAGTTTAGCTATTCTACGCAAAATTAAACATGCTCTTAGCTCCTCTAGCGTCTCAATTTTGCATAAATAAAAAACCAAATCTAACATACACAAACGGAGAAACTTGAAAATTGAAAAAAAGCAATCAAACAAACCGTCAAGATTACGAAAGGTTCCATCAGAGCGAGCGATAGAGAAGCCTTGATCCGGAGATTTAACTGGTCTGATAACGAATTTATCTGGAAAGTCGTGTAACTCTAGTTCGCTCCATAGCTTGAAATGACTCTTTCCAGTTGAAGAAGGAGATTCGATTTCCATTTAGCAAATACGATTGTTTGATTGAGTGAATACTAGTTGATTAAAGAAGCGTAGCTACCCGATTGGTGAATGATTAAAGATGGAAAGAGTAATTTAAATTGAAATGGCTAATGCAGATGGGGGATTAGGTGATTAAACCACCAGCAATAATATTCCTTCAATGAAAAGGTATTGGTAGTTGCGATGAACAAAAAAATTGACTATATTTGGTCAATCGCTTTTGCTTAACAAAATTACCAAATAATCGGATGCTACTTATTATAGTAACTTTCGATTTTATTTTAAGGTAATCCATAATTCCATTGTTTATCATTTTAAATTGTAATAAAGATATATATAATTAATGGTTTCATGTGGTTTTGTTTAAATTATGGCTTTGATTTTTGGAAATTTTGTTTGAATTTGTTTGTAACTAGTCGGTAGCCTTGGATTACATAAACCATAATTGTACCTAATGAAAATTATAATGACTGAAATTATAATTATTGAAATTTAAACTATCTAAATCTACAAATTCAAAACTACAAGGAGTAAAACTATAATAATCTTCAATTTAGTTACAACTATAGAGTCCAAAACTGTAGTTAAGGCAATATATAAAGAGCCAAATGTAATCGTGGAAAAAGAAAACCACAGGAGCTAAATCTATACAATTTAGAACTATATAGACCAAAACTATAATTGTAAATCTAGGGGACTAAACATGTAACCATTGTATTACACCAGGGGTCATTTCTGTAATTACGGCGGCACATGTTAGCATCAATCACCGTCAAATCGACGATAATTGTCAGTATGTAGTAATTAATTTTCCTATACAAATGGAAGTTATCCATTCAGGATTCATGAGTTGGTTACGTTGATGGGGGGTTGCGTATGGTAGTGAGGCTCATCCATGATTTGCCTATGGCAATTTGATAAGATTTGTGTTGTCTATGTGGATAGGTCTTGAATGACTTTCTTAGGTTGATCGTGCACGTTTTTATACAACAAGGTTGACATATATATTAAACATGGTTTTAAATAAAAAAGAATCAACAACAACCATCACATCATACCAAAAAACGAATATTTCAAATATATACTTTTTAACTTGTTTAAAATTTAAAAAGTACTTCATTATATTTAATGGATTTTAACCATGTTATGTTTGTATGTTTGTAAATTGGAGGTGGAGATTTTTAACCGAGATGAATGCTCTTTGGGTCTCGCTCATTTTTGGCAATTCGTAGGGGTTGTGTACTTTTTGTTAACGGAACACTAAGATGCAAATTTCAAGGCATTTGGAGCAATATTATATTATTATTATATTAAATCATATTCAATACCAACACATAGATATCGATTATTAATTTATTATTACATAAAAAGGTCGGTAAAGGGAATTTAGCCACGATTTGGGTTGAAAATTGGCTTGGTGGCTCTTCTTTTAGGATGCGGTTCCCGAGTTTATTTGTGCTCGAGTTGGATAAAAAAATGCTTGGTTGATTCTCTTTTTAACCAAGAGGAGTGGCTTTAGGGGTAGACACATATATCGGGGTAATGGAGGCCTCATGGCTATTCAAAATTTAAGGAATTTTGACAATATTTAATTTTTGAGAGGCGAGGCTGAAGGGTGTAGTGTATTTTTTTTTTTGTTAATGGTAAAAGGATGTCATTTAGGCGTTATATAGTTTTAATATTTTTATAAATTGTGGATGTGTTCGGCAAAACTAGTTGGTTTCAGGTAACTTATAGCGGGTAGCTTGTAGCTTGTAACGTTTTGTTACATGTTACAAGAAGTAGCATTTGAATTTGGAGTGTTTTGTTTAAACTAAACACTAGAAGCTTGCAATGTCGAACGAGACTTTTTATTCAAAACGAAGCGTTTTGTCAAACGCTATAAGCTCTCAAATGCTCCCAAAAGCTCTGTGTCGAACACATCCTTTATCTACAAACTATAATGGTTTTGGGCGTATTCGGCAAAACTAGCTGGTAGCGGGTAGCTTGTAGCTTGTAGCGTTTTATTGAACGCTACATGAAGTAGTATTTGAATTTGGATCGTTTTGTTTAAACTAAACGCTAGAATATTGCAGTGTCGAACGAGGCTTTCTGTTCAAAACAAAGCGTTTTGTCAAACGCTAGAAGCTAGAAGCTCTCAAACGCTCCCAAAAGCTCTGTGCCGAACACACCCTTTACCTATAAACTTTTTTTTTTTTTTTTTAATTTCAGTTTTTAATAAAAATCATACTAAAATTAAAAATAACATAAAATTAATAATTACATTTTAGAATTTCTAAAAAATAATATGAAATTACAAATTACATTTAAAACCTAAAAAAAAAAAAAAAAAAAAAAAAAAAAAAAAAAAAAAAAAATGAAGTGAAAATTAAAAAAAAAATCCTAGAAAAAAAAAACATAACATCAAAGCTACAATTGCATATTAGCTTATATTTTTCAAGAATCAACATCTTCACCAATTTAGTCGTCTCCTAATCTTTGGGGTCGAGGTATCTCACATCTTGCATCAACAACAAATATTTATGAATCGGATGATTTCAACCATATGCTTCTCCAAAGTTGTATTCAATTGTGTCATTTGTGTCATCATCTCCTCCGATCTAATTGACCGCTCTGTTCCGGCTGACGATTTGATGATGTAATTTTTTTTTTCCTTTTCCTCGAGCTTTTGCTTTGTCCCTTCCCATGGGACGAAGAGGCACGCGTAGCTCTTCAATTTCATCGTTATCATCATTAAGATCAACGCCAATGTGACCATCCAATGATATTTGTTGTGAGCTTGAATATGAAGATGTTCAGCTTCTTTTTGGCGATTTAGCAATGTCTTCATGTGTTGGAAACTCCTTCCACCTAATGTTTCTTTTGACAACTTCCCACACATGAATGAACTTAAAAGGCTTCAACATGTCATCTTGGAATGTCGCGTGCGTTTTTTTCAACAAACTCATTTTACTTTCACCGCTAGCCCATTGCTTTTCGAAGTTTGTGTAAATTTTGTTCCAATGTGTCACGAGTTTGTTAGCAAGATTCCATTTTTGAGTAACATTGGTAGGATGTTTGGTAATCTAGTTCTCGACCTATAACCTTACAAAACCACTCCATAACATGTAAGCAAAATTCATCACATGATTGGCCTTTTTCCTGTGTTGCTATCTTATGATATGTCGACATATGCCTTTGCTAATTTCGTTTCTTCTGTTTTACTCCATCTTCTTAGATCGACCTTCCTTTTTTTTAGGTTGTTCTTCGGGCTCAGAATCATAAAGAGTTTTGGTTGCGGGTGTGAAAGGCGGTTGAGATTGAAATTGGAATTGGGTTTGCGTTTGGATTTGGGATGTTGTTCGAGGTGGTGGGGATTGGAATTAGAATTTTTGTGGCGTTAGGAATTGTGAATAATAGCTAAGAACACCACCTACAAACGCTTGGTTTTGAGATTTATCCATTTGTGGCCGATAAGGTGGTAGTAATGTTGGATCGTAACCGAAAAGTGCAAATACGTTGGAAGCATTTTGGTTTAAAGCATTTGGGTTGGAAGAGTTTAGGGTGTTGGAGGACATTTTGATTATGTGTGTGTTTTGAAATGAATGGTAAAATATGTGTGTGTGTGTGTGTGTGTGTATATATATATATATATAATTTAAAAAAATGATAACAAAGCTGTTTGCCAATGTTTCGAGATTTTCCGTCAAACACTCTCAAGAAATCTCTCAAAAACTTCTCCTTCTTCCACCAAAGTTTCAAGATTTTGGGTGTGTTTCAAGAGGAGTTTTCATCAGAAATCATCATCTTGGTAAGATCTCACAAACCTAAGTTTATTTACTACATCTTTAAACTCAAATCGCTCCTCTTACACCCATATTTTTGTAGATCATGTTTCTTAGAACCATCCAAGTTCGAAAACCTCTTCAAGAGTCTTGCTAAAGTAGAGATATTCTTCAATCTCTTCATCAAATCGAATCCAAACCCCAAAGTGAGTTCATACCCCCTTGATTTCGGTTTTACATTGTTTTTGGGGGAGAATACAAGCTAATATGTGTTAGATCTATGTCTTTGTGTATGTTTATGTGTGTTTTATAAGTGTATGTTGTGATGGTGTAAAGAAATTCATAGGTCTAGACAATATTTTAAACTACAACACTTTATACAACTTACTATAAGGATAAATATGCTAAGTATGTGAAGATCCATAAGAAACTAAACAACACTTGAAAGAGGGCTATTTATGACTAATAAACAAAAGATTGAGACTTCTATGCCATATACGTGGTTTTTACAAGGGCTAAAATGGCCTCTTTTACATAAAAATGGGTTTTTATAACATTCATAGTTTCCAAGGGGTTAAAAGTGAAAATTTTCGCATAATGGGCCATAAAATGGGCCTTGCGGTTTTCTTGGGCTTAAAGTGTAAAACTTTTGGTTTTTGTGGACTAAATTGTCACTCTATGCAAATTTGAGTAAAAAATGTGAATTTACGGATATAGGGGCTGAAAATGTCACTTTCCTTGAATTTGAGCCAAAAATGTTATTTTCATAAAGTTTGGACCAAAATTGTCATTTTTATCAAAAATGGGCTGAAAATGTAAATTCTCGTAGAAAAGGGGCCGAAAACAACAATTTAAATATATTTGGGCCAAAGATGTTAATATTTATGATTTTGGACCAAAAATGAAGTTTTTAACTAAAATGGGCCATAAAAGCTATTTTTTAGAATTAAGCCCATAAAATGAAAACTCTTAGCCTTAAGGGACCTAAAGTGTCAAATTTTCCAAAAATGTGATTAAATTGTATATTTTCAGTCTAGTGGGCCAAAAATATCACTATTACGAAAATTAAACCTTTTTATGTTACTCCGTTAAACTCGTAATAAAAAACAAACAATGAAATAATAACAATGGACGAAATACATCGATAACATGCTTATTGGGCTTAATACTCTCGTTACATGGCTAATGGACCTTAGGGATCCATTTAAGTGTACATTGGGCCTACATTTCCATGTCATGTTAATTGGGCCTTTGTGGTCCATTTATATGTTAATTTGGGCCTATGTTATGGATCACATGTTTATTGGGTCTTGGTGGCTCATTTAAATACCTATTGGGACCTGAATTACCCCTTACATGTTTATTGGGCCTTAGTGGTCCATCCACATGCTAATTCGGCTTGGATTAAAAGTCATATGTTTAGTGGGCGTTAAATGCCCCTTACATGTCTGTTGGACTACATACAATCACTTACATACTTTTGGATTTGAAAACTTAAAATGTACCCATAAACAATATACTTGGTGTAGTACATTACTCGTGAACCAGTTAAGGATCTGATGAGACTTGTCAGTTAACATCCTCAAGTGTATGATCGTAGCTTGTAGTTATAACGAGAGTCTCCTGCAGGGAGAGCGGGAGTTTTTGTATAGATCTATACGGGATGACATCCCACACCTGAGTTGTTCGCTACAGCTAGACTAGGCTAGTTTAGGGTGACAAACCTTACCTTCAACAAATCGGCGTCTGATACGTCATGGCAGGTGAATTAGTCATTATTAAGCATGGTTGTAACAACTCACATAAAGATCAATACCATCAGAATATTACGGAATACAAATACAAATCGTGGTGACACAAAACCTATACACACTAATACCTAGTCTTAGGGTTTTAAGACTACATTACTTTTACAGTTAGAAAATATCGGATTTTCTGGGGAAAATATACATTTGCACACCACCTTCAATTTACAACAGAAACAAATAGGATTTTCGGGAACTTATTTTTGCATATTTTCTACAATGGAAACCACACATGCATTAATACTTGATTTGATACATCATTTTCAAACTCTTTTGCAGAAAATATCGGATTTTCTGGTGTTTTACTTTCGATACAAAACTTTTCATTAAAATACACTTACGAACTCACCAACATTGTTATGTTGACCGTTTTCAAAATGACTTGTATTCTCAGAAACTCGTTAAGTGGAAGAGTCAACAAGAATATGAGATTTTGTTTTGTGTACTGTTAAACATCATACGTTGAATGTTATGGCCATGTAATTTAAAATATTGTACTTGATGTGAACAATGACAATTGTATTATATTATGCACGGTGGTGATGATGTTATGTTTCATTTATATTCACTGTAATGATATTTCAAGATGAAGTCACGTGCAAGCCCCCGGATGTTTTCGCCGTCTGGTTCGGGGGTGTGACACTAACACACAAAGTTATAAAAGGTAATCATTACTTTTCTTACGCTGCGGTATCCACAACAGACAAGAGTTTTTCTTCACTTCACAATTTCTTCCTTATCCCCGGTCTCTCTAAGGGGCTGTTTGATTTGCTTTTAACCGGGTCCAGTCAAACATTTTGGTTGACCCGGTCCGGGTCAGTATGTTTGATTCGTAAACAATCAGACACTCTAGATGACTCGGTCAGTTGTTTTGCTCTGACTCGGTCGATCTAAAAAATGAAGTTGACTGGAAGGAGAGACTCATTTTCCCATTTGGCCCTTCCCTTTCTCTTTGAAACGGAGTTCACTCCATCCTCTCCATCGCATCTCTCTTGATCATCTTCAGTCTTCAACATCGTTGACTACCTCTTCCACCGCCCTTATCTCCAATGCCGATAACCTCATCCACCACCGTTCTCTCCAGTGCCAACCATCTTTCCTATCTCATCTCATTTGGGGTTTGTGATTTCTCACAACAGTTTCTCAATTTTTCAAAGAAAATTAAGGTTTTTGATTCGATTTAGGATTTCTGATCTCAAGCTTTTTATTTCTATTTGGGGTTTCTGATCTCAAGATTTTTTATTATGATTTTTGGATCACAAATATATAATTGCTCAACTGATTGGAACTGTGAATTGGCTAACCAATTTCAATTGTCTTGGTCAAATAAGCTTATATTTCGATTGGTTCCAAACTATTCTGAATGAAACGAAAACCATGAACTAAGGGTAAAAGATTTATTCAATTGGTGTGCAAAATTGAATTGGTGGTCTTCTTCTCAACATGCTCTGCAAAATTTAATTGGTGGTCTTCTTCTCAACCTGCTATACAATTAAACCTTTTCTACACGTTGGTCCATGTTTATCTCTAACGGAATATGCTTTTCAGGTTTGTGTTATCTCATATGTTTTGGGTGACAAAGACTCGTTAATAAATACCAGGTGTGATGGCAGTAGAGCATGTTAAAATAGTAAATGTCTGTGTAAACAGGTGGCTCTTGTTTCTTTATGTATATGATCTAAATTTGATGACAATGGTGTCTGGTCTTTCATCAATAGTGTGTGCTTCTATCCTTTTTAAAATACATTTTAATGTTGTTGATTTAGTACTTTTCTTAAGTCGAATATCCAGAAGTAATTTGATGACAATGGTGTCTGATCTTTCATCAATAGTGTGTGCTTTTATCCTTTTTTAAAATACATTTTAATGTTGTTGATTTAGTACTTTTCCTTAATTCGAATATCCAGAAGCTGATTGGGGAAACTTCGAATAGTGGTAACATAAATGGTTTATGGAATGGAAAAGATGATAAATTGAGTTGGGTTGTTGTACATTCCAGTTGAAACAAAGTTGTTTTATGTAAAGATTTATGGTTTAAAACACTCAAATGATTGAAATCATCATCTATATACAGAACAGGGAAACATTTATGATTTATTGCATGTGTATATGAAACCAAAAGAAATGTCGTTTGAGGGTAATATAGTCATTTTGCACAATTGGTCAAATGCAAAATCAAACACCAAATTTCAGTCAGAAGTTAACTCAGTTAGAACTTCTAACTCAATCAACTCTAACCCAGTTAGTAATTATCAAACGACCCCTAAGTCTTCAGTCGAAACCATACAGCTCCTCGCTATCACTTCTCAATA